TCATAGGGTTGTTCTCCTACTCCACATTCCACATCACTAGCCTAGGGGTGAAGACGTTGACTCGTACTCCATCTCTTCGTTGGTATCCAACAGAATCCTAATTCACCGGATCATTCCTGCCTAGATGCCAGTCTTGCTGTCACGGTAAGGGTTGCATTGTGCCCTCTACCCGAAGGCTCTTTTCTGGGTTAGTATTTCTCAGAAGGATGACCCTTTTCGTCTCCTGAATGGATATTAGCATACATCTCTGCACTCTGCCTTCTTGTGCTTTTCTCTCCCACACTCTCTTACTTTTGTCACCTTGACGTTACAATCTTTTAATCGATTTCTTACACTGGCCTCCGCTAATCTTAATTTCCTTCAGCCTTCCCTTCGAAGACATCCTCCTCGGACCTCCCGGCCAACCTTTCCCAGTTCGAACTATTGTTTCAGCTGGTCCATTCATTAATCGTTTCAACATCTCCGTCATTCATTCCAATACACTAATACACGACTGTCACTCTCTTAATTCCGTCGTTGCCTGATAGACCCGTTCTTCAGGCTTCCTTTCGTTGAAACTCGCCAATACAAAGCTCATACGTCAACTTGTGCTTCATACTTCGGTTGATCCAAGTACTTCCGCAATCATGGATTACCATCGCAACTACCGTCCTTGTCCCACGTTCTTCGTGGAAGAAGAGTTCGGCATGGAAAGTCGCATTCGGCAAGAACGGCAAGCGAAACAGGAGCATGCCAAGCAGATGGCTCGTGAGCGTCAATACGTCATGGCGGATGAGCTATCTAATCTCACAAGCGAGCAGCTTCGGGACGATGTCCTGAGTCACATGTTGGAAATGGATGTGAGTGACTAGACCCTTGGTTTCTCTCCAAGGCTATACGTTGTTAACCTAGTCTCCGCCATAGAACCAAACCCTGCCCGACGTCGAGTCCATTGACATCCAAACCGAGATCCAGTGGTTTATGCGACCGTACCTTCTTGACTTCTTGATCGAGGCCCACACTGCGTTCCAGCTCCTCCCATCCACCTTGTTCTTGGCAATCAACCTTTTAGACCGATACTGCTCCAAGCGTGTGGTCTACAAGCGCCACTACCAGTTGGTTGGCTGTGCAGCTCTACTCATCGCGGCCAAGTACAATGACAAGAAGGATCGTGTTCCCACTATCAAGGAGTTGAAGTCGATGTGCTGCTCTCTTTACGACGACGATATGTTCACCCAGATGGAATGGCATGTCCTCCAAACTCTTGGCTGGTCCATTGGACACCCAACTGTGGATGCTTTCTTGCAGCACGCCGTCTTGGATGATGCTTACGACCCCGAGGTGGAACACATGGCTCTGTACATCCTGGAGATTGCCTTGTTCCACCGGGACTTTGTCGCCAAGCTATCGTCTGAGCTTGCCCGTGCCGCTCTTGCATTGTCACGTTGCATTCTTAACCGGCCTCAGCCCCGTCATACCCATTGGTCATCGCAGTATGACTCGATGACTCTCGTTGCCTTGTCTCAACAGTTGCACCAACCCTCCACCGTGGTCGCCCGCAAGTACGCTTCCGCTCACTACTCTCGGGTCTCCAAGGTCATGGAACACTTCCTCAACCGCCAGGCTTCGTTGGCAACCTACGCCCGTTGCACCCCTCCGGTCGAGACTCCTATCGAGTCCAAGCCATACAATGGGGAGATTGGCCTTGCCACCCCTCAGAAGTCCCAGCAGTTGACAGCTATTCCTCATGGTTACCTCACTCCTCCCATCACCCCGGACAACGAGGCACTTGTGCATGCCCATGCTCAAATGGCGAATCACGATATGAGCCGCGGAATGGCCACTGGTCACCATGGCTGTTCCCCTTCCCCCGCACCATCCGCTGAGATGCAATACATGAACAGTGAAGCATACCAGCAACAGCAGGAGGCTATGTACATGGCGCAGCAAGCAGCACTCCAACAGTTCCCTCTGGCACCTACCCATATGGGAATGTGCCAGACATATCAGGGTGGGATGTAAACGAAACGACGGAACGACCAGCAAACCAAATAAAATTTGGCCGTTGCACATATTTCCAGCATTTCATTTCATTTCTCTCATCTTCATAGAATGCCTCCAAGAAGCGTCCGATTGCGCATTGATCCACCTCGATATTCCATCTTAATACTCAATGCGCCATACCAGCTGTTCACCTGTGCTATATCCCCCGAACTCGACTATGTCCACTTTCGTCCTTTACGCTTTGCATTCGGCTCTGGTTCTGCGGAACCAGAGTCGAGACCAGCCCTTCACTTCCTGTTCCAAAAATTGCATACCCATTTGCTCCCATACCCATTAGTTTTGGGTCATCCGTTGCACTTGACTTACCATCTAGCATTGCGAGCGCGAGCCATGTTGATTTATTTGTTTTTCAAGAATACAGTTTGATGTTTTCCACTCCCCTCGTCACATTAACTTCTCTTCTCTGTCAAGGAATACCATGCACACCTTGACCCTTTGTATTTCTGCGCGCCAATTGGTGCTGCGTTTTTGATATCCCCATTCCCCCTGCGCTCCACTATCCTTAGCAGCTTGACTGCCTTCCCAATTGCGCCCCCAACACCCAATCCCCGCCCCTCAAAACCCCCCCCCTCAAACCCGTTTTTAATGTGCCTCGTTTCTCATGGAGGTCACAAAAAAAAGCAAAAAAAGTGTGAAAACCCGGAAAAAATTATATGTCTTCTGGGGAGGAAGGGTGTCCGAGTCCATATTTGGTTGGAATCAACGGATGCCTTTTCTTTTCCCTCGCTCTCCCCTTCCTTTGTATCTAGCCTTTGACACATGCCCTGAACGCCTGTCCGTCATCCATCACGGGAGGCGGCAGGCCAGGTGCCTTTTTCTTTTATTTCTTATGTGAATTTGAGAATGGGGTGTCGGTATGCCGCTTGGCGCTGAAATATATCCCATTTTCAGTGAACTTTTGGATGCTTTAAATTGTAGTCTTTATTTGTTCTTGTAGAGTACTCCGTACTGTGCTCTCCTTTGGGATTTTCAGCGAGCTACTGCATGGTAGCCATATTTCTACTCCGCACCTATGTCAACGGCATGTCACTCTCTGCGCTGCTCTTGTCTGAATTTCAGTCCGATATCCATTGTCTTTCTCTGGGTATATGCCACTGACAGGATATACTTTTGTTGTGATGCTTTCCACCAATAGCTCTAGTGTCTCAAAATGTATATCCAGCCACTCGGACAAGGTCTCATATATATATATTTTACTGTCATCGAGGCCCTGTATATATTATATGGACCACTTTTTTTTACAACTAAGACTATATATATTTGAAAGTCTATTAGACATAGTTAAAATAAGATTGAAAAGAGATGCTTTATTCCAAAAGGCTCGGGTCTAGGAATGATATTCAAGTCGTTCGGGTGTTAGCCGGAGATAAGGAAGCGGCTGTTGGTGAAGCTGGTTGAACCCTACCACATTCCACCTACAATCATCCACCGCAATTATGGAGGAGCTCAGTAATAGAATGTACGGTTTGTGGAGCTGAGGATATGCCATCTATCGCACCACCTACTTCAAATCCGATGCTTCATTCCTAGGCGCTGTTAGATACACCGAGGCCTGCATCAAACGGCAATTTCTGAGACAGTACTCCGTATGCCCAGTCACATATAGGAGATGCTAGCGCACTTTGCACCAAACACCGGTCTACCATCGTAGAAGATCTGCAATTTGACAGGGCGTCTATCGATACGACTCGTGCTCATTTTCGGCGTCGGGTGGACGTGACAATTCGAACTAATTTCGAATGGATGAAATGTTGGACACATGCTATGGGATCTTTGGATGATAATGGAAGATGGTTATTTGATAGCATCGACTTTCTATTCGAGGGGTGGGTGTATTGCGGATGAATCAATGCCACATATTAAATATCGCATAGGTCGTCAGAAGACGAGACCTACATGCGTGACTGCATATGATAGATCATATGGACAAAGGAAAGCAATGGAAGTGCATCATTCCTACCTGATTTACAGAAACTCTTAGGGAAGGTTCGTTTTTTCGAGCCCCATTGTATTCCCGTCGCTCTTTCCCCCTTCTAGTAGAATCGAAGAAGAGCCGGATAATTGTATATACAACCCTGGAGGCACGGCCAACACGAGGTATTGAACCAGGTCAGCCGTATTCACTGCTTCACTTGACGCCAGACCGGCGACGGCGGCCTAATACGGTGTCAAAGCGGCGTTTCTGGCCAGCATTCACCGAGTACAGAGTAAAAGAAGCATAAATAAAGTGAAGATTGAGATAATAATAAAACAGTCAAATTTCTCTTAAGAATACAATTTCGCTCATTCGCAATAAATCCAAGTCCAGCAGATCCAATAATACCCACGCTATGCATCGCAAGAAACAAAAGAAACAAATAGAAGGGTGTCAACCCAATTAGCCCTCACAGCATGACCATGCAGCTAGCTGCTTGGTGGCAACGCCGAGAGGAAAACACGTGTTCAACAGTAACCAGTAGAGTTGGAAGGGTAGAATGTAGAAAGTAGAAGGGGGAAGGGGAGTAGAGAGTAGAGGAATGAAGGAAGACGAACTCCAGAATAATGATACAAGGGGAAGAGTGGAGACGTGAAAAATCCGGGGAGAGGCAAATGGACAAGTCAGAAAAGGGAAAAAACGGCACAACAGCCCTGAGAATCCGAGGAATCCCAAAAGTAGAAGCATCCCGATCTGGTCAGGGGCGAAAGAGAAAGCGTCAAGCGGTGACGAGAGGCAGCGAAAAAAGGGGGTTTTGGCGTCCAATGATCTCCCCGAACCATCTTGGTCGATCACCGCCTCACTTTTCTTCCTTTTTTCTGGGCTTTTCTGTCTCTTCTTCTAGTCTGGACCCCTTTTTCGCCTTTGTAACGCGCGTGTAAAATGGTGGTCTCCGCGTCTCGCTCTCGAGCCGAACGTCCCATATGTAGATATAGCAATTGAGATGCATAGGGACGTAGGCAATTCGAGTTGTAAAGGACAACTACTTCCAGCGTTGTTTGTCCCAGTCAGATGGCCGCGTCTCATCGTAGATTCGGCCGCCCTTGTTGTGAACGATCACCGGAGGTTTGCGGACGGGATTGGTTGCTGGGGTCTGCATTAGCTCGGGCTGAATCTGGAGATCGGGACAGGGATGTGATGCACTTGACATACTCAGACTCCGGACTTCGGTGGCCACCACCTGATCGTTGTTGCTGCCTCTGCTGGCTAGTGTTGAATTGGAGTCGTTCACTTTGTGTGGCATTGTGGAGGAATAGTAGGAATGGTTTGTAGTTTGTAGTTTGTTCAACTTTGAGGGTGGAGGTGGAGGTGAAGGCGAATATGGCGAAGAAGAGGGATATTAGGGTATTAAATGAGGTAGAGGTACCCCGTAGAGAGCAAAGAGAGTAAAAAGGTAAAAAGCTGAAGAGATGAACGGATATGTATAGTACGCGTCGAGCGTGAGGCACAGTGTTGAACTGAGATTATAAGGACAATAATTAAGATATAGACAAAAGGTATAGATAAAAGGTATAGAGGAAGACAAAAATATAAAAGAAGACAATAGTGATGTTGTTGATATGCTGTAGTTTGGTTGATAATGAAGTGATAGTTCGAGGGCGACGACTTCTTTTTGTATAGCAAGCCATCCGCATTGAGGTTCGCCCCGATCTACACTCTGGGGAACATACGTCGAGCAGCTCACTAGTCCCAAAAGAGGACAAGAGCTGGGAATGGATCATCTCCCCCTGACGTATTTGGTGCCTGGTAATGGCTGCCACGATCAAAGCATTGATTGGCCTAGAGGTTCGATCGAAAGTAGGGCAGCCAGTGATGAAGGGGAGAAGTTGCTAGGGCTTTGTGCCGGTAAGATTTCCAATAATGATGAGTCAGCCATTCTTCGTCCTATTTACAGAATCGGACTGGTCGTGTAACTAAAATAGCAAATACATAACTAAATAATAATAAATCGTTACGTTGAGGGGATTCCTCGCTTCCCACACCGCTAGGATGCGTCAATGGCGGCTGTACAGAGTGCGTGTATATAGTATCATACTATGTTGTACGACATGCTACTGGCTAACTATTGATTCTTTCACCGCAATTGGAACTCCACTTTGGTCCAGAATCTTACGTCTCGATCATTATGCAAATCGACACTCTGTTCCTTGTCCATAATCCTCAGCCTGGCTAATCTGTATTAGGCTCCATCGGAAGATCTGCCCGCCCCGGTTCATACAGGGGTCATCCCATGGGGAAAATAATAATTATGAAACTTAGGTACATATACATCTCCCTATAGAGCAATGCATAAACACTTGGTCATGGTCTCGTTGGTAGTGCACGGATGTGCGTCATTCCATCTAGACCGAGATTCTGGCCCTGGAGTCAACCCTTTCCTGGTCAATCACTTTCCAAGCTAAGTATACCCCGGGAGGGCTTCCCTAGCAACGCCTGAACCGGCAATGGGCTTGCGAAGCGTGTGGATTGCCTGACCCCTTCTGCCCTTCTGACCTGGTCCCGTGGACAAACATAACCCATCCCCGTCAGGATTCTAGAACCAGCCTCCCCTGAAATCGTAAATCGTGTCAGCTCGCCTGTCCACCGCCCTCGCGCTTCATCCGGTCTTGCCACCCGTTCATGCTCCGTCGAATTCCCAACGTCCGTCGCGGTGCTTGTTGGATCATTGACATCGTCGTGCTGTGGAACGTCGACACCGGCTGGAACCCGGTGGAGCTCTCGGGTTTCACCTCGTCTGCCCCGGCTGTTCCGCCTGCGGATGTACTATTGCCGTTCTGTTCCTGCGTCTTCGACATCCTGGCAGGTCTCAAGGTTGTTGGTTTGGATGGAGTTGCCAGCCACGTGTAACCATTGGGGTCCGTAGGCTCTAGGGTCGGCCTTGTTGGAATAAGTGGTCGTGGCTGAATACGGTGAGAGGAGAGGGTAGATGGGACGATGCTTCTTGCCCCTGAGCGTTGATTCTGCGGTGGTGGCTGTGGATAGCGAGGCAGAACTGGTTCCCTCTTCTGGGAGGATCCTGGGCCTGCAAAAAAGTTGGATATGCTTGCCTGTGTGAGTCCGTCTTTACGGCTTGCGCCGCTGAGCGGTTTCGATCTGTTTGCCCCAGCTGCACCTGCATCCGCTGAAGCCTTGGAGGCTGACTCCGCGGGGGGTTCGGGGTTGGCCGCTATGTAATCCCGGGCAGATGTAAAACCCGATAGACCAGTTGTAGGAATCGTAAACCCTGTCGAGTTGTTCATGGTATACCCGGTCGATGAGATGTAGGTGGTCGATTTTGGCCCCTGGTTCATATCTGACCGCCGACGCTTTGGATTGGGCTCGCCAGAGGCGTCGTGAGAGGTAGATGTGCCATCGAATTTGCTGCGGTCCTCCTCGCCCTCGGGTGTCCATCGATCGTCCAGCGTCGATGGAAGAAACTCGAGCCCCTTGTAAATGTCGTCTAAAGATGGCCGCGGGCGACGCAGAATATCGGCAATTGCATACACCACCTTCTCGTGGAGAGACGGCCCCGTTGACCGAAAGCGCGATTTGGTCAACTTGGGAGGAAGGAATGGCGTCAAAGTGGTGGCACCAGCTTCTCCTTCTCCTAACCGCGGTTGTCGAATAGGAACACTCAAGTATAACAGGGCCTGCGCTCTCGTCATCGCGACATATAGTAATCGTCTCTCTTCTTCTATCACCTCAGCACGCGAGTGAGGAATGCTCCCGTTGTACACTGCAGGAACAAATACGACTGGCCACTCCAGGCCCTTGGCAGCGTGGATAGTTGAAATAGTGACTTTCTCTTGCGGTTGGTCTCCCTCTTTGGTTTCTTCTTTGGTTGTGATCTCCGTAGCCAAGGCGACATTCGCCAGGAACCGAGTGAGAGCCTCCTCGCCAGGATGTGCCTGCTGTTGCTGCACACCTTCGATTTCAGGGAGATCCATTTCTTTATCAACCTCCTCCTCTTCAAATGCTGCGACTTCACTGGCTTGATGCATCAATTCCTTAACATTCGCCCAGCGACTGTCTTCGTCAAGGGGATATGCTCTGATGAGATATTCTTGGAATGAGAGGCGTTCGGCAATGAACTCAATCAGAACGCGTGGAGCGGATGCATCCTCACACTCTTGCAACTTCTGTCTAGAGGCTTCAATCAAATTGATTAGAACGCAGAGTCCCTGCTCTGCGGCTTTTTGCAGTTTCTTCTCAGTCAAACGGCGCCCTTGGATGACATCCTTGATGAAGTCCCATAGAGGAATTTTGGCCTTCTCCGCACCGCTAGTCAATTGCTTGATTGTCTCATCGCCAATCCTTCGTGGCGGAACATTCACAATATTCATCAACGCGTCCGAATGTCCCGTATGGCTCACTACCCTCATATAATTGAGAAGAATCTTGACTTCAGTTCGATCAAAGAATTTTCTCCCTCCAACCATCTTGTACGGTATACCCGCTCTTCCAAAGGCTGTTTCGATTTGTGTAGACAGCGAAGCCGACCGGAGCAGGACAGCAAAGTCAGACATGCGCAGTAGACCGCCGGTCATCGCTGCACATCGCTTGATCTCAAGTACCATCCACTGCGCCTCTGCGTTGGGATTTGGGAGACTTCTTAGCACGGGCAAGGTTCCGAAGGAGTGCGTAGCTAGCAATGCCTTTGCAGGCCGGCTCGTATCCTGCTCAATCACTTCTTGGGCTGCATTCAAGATAGAACCTGCAGAGCGATAATTGTCTTCCAAGAGTACAACCGTCGTGTTTGAATATCGGTGCTGCATCCGCTTGAGATTCTGGATCTCCGCAGAACGAAACCCGTAGATGCTTTGATCCGGATCTCCGACGATGGTGATTCGTCGGTTCTTAGATGCGAAGAGGTTCATCAATTCATATTGTATGATATTGGTGTCCTGGAACTCATCCACCAAGACAGCCTGCACATTTGAGACACATTCTGGATGGTCTCGGAGCAGATCTCCACAACGCAGAAGGAGGTCATCATAATCCAGGAGATTGGAGGCGGCCAGTGCTGATTCGTAGTCACGATAGATATCAACAAGCTCTAACTCCTCTGCTTTGGCTCTGTCGGCCAGGGCATCAGGACTGAGTCCATGTGCTTTATGTCGAGAAATTCGGCCTTGCGCCGCCTTGACTTCAATGCTAGACTTCAGTCGTTTAATGGTTCTCTGCAGTGACAATTAGAAAATAGAAACAAGCTATATAATATAAAAGTGCTACTCATACTCTGATAATTGCGCGGGTATCATCCGAATCCGCAATGCCAAACCCCTTCCGCAGGCCGATCAAGTATCCGTACTTAACCAAGTAGCGGCGACAGATGGAATGAAAGGTGCCGAGAATCAAGCGCGATTCGAGTTTTTCTCCAATGAGTTTTGCGAGCCGCTCCCGCATCTCACGGCTGGCCTTGATGGTGAATGTGCAGCATATAACATCTTGCGGTTGGTATCCGTGGTGCGAGAGGAGGTACGCGACGCGTGCGGTCAATGTCTTTGTCTTACCCGAGCCCGGTGGTGCGAGCACTTGCAGGATTGAGCCAGATGAAGTGACAGCTTCCCGCTGGGCATGATTCAGGCCGTCTAAAATCGGATCCATGACATGTGGGGTGTTTGCCAATCCTCGGGTGTTTGTGAGGAGGAGACGCGAGAAAACGCGACGTCATGTGACACTTCCACTCTACATTGAGGACGACTGTTTGAAGAATTAACGGAATTGGTACGGAGTACTTGCTAACTACCTGTCTCTCGATTGTGAAATCTGATAATTCAGATACGAGCCATAGCGATGGTATTGAGGGGATAATTGTGAGACGGCAAGCCCCGAAGACCTCTGTACCTAGATTGACACATGGATGATACCGTGACTTTAGCCATCTGGCCATTATGTAACTAATAATACATTTTCACCCTGGCATTTGACCAAGACGCAAAACTCTAACCAAGTGGAATTGGTACTTTTGTACAAAGACCTGAGATATATTCCTGTCCCTCGGATATATCATCGCATGACTCGTTCACAAAGCCCCTTCCCGTCTTCTGTTGGCGATATTTTGATTCAGTCTTCAGGAGTGGGCCCGATGTCTCCCGCCGTGCCGGATCCCGACCTGCCTATCTGATACAAGCGCTCCAGCAACGCGGGACATGCCTGACCATTTCAAGGATGCACGGCCCATTATTATGTGGCGAAGTTCGGGAGTGCGCTGCCGCCATTGTTTCCAGAAGGCCAAGTATGCCGTAGGGAAGAGAGGGTCTC